GAATATATACCCGAAGACGATAACTCAGATGCTGAAGAAATGATAAACGTCAATTTTATATATTTTTATGCTAAAGTTAATTAGTAATTAATATTAATTAATAGTTTATATATATATATATATATATATTATAGTAATAGTTTATTTTTATTTAATATTTATTTATCATTAATAGTAATAAATAATAGTTGATATTAATGAGTGTTATAAATTGAAAAAATCACAATAAGCTCCCACAACGCTATCCAAATAATGTAAGCTAACTTATGTTCATACAAGCATGTATACAGAATATAAGTTAGCTTACATTTGCCAAACAAATGAAAAGATGCCTAAATTCTTGAACGTTTTTTTTTAATAAATAAACCATCAAACTTTTAAAAATTGATTACCTAAATCATTTTAACAAAAAAAAACTACTTGTAACAGACTAAAAATGTTTTAAAGTAAAATGAGATCTAAATCAGTTTTGTCATTCCCAAACTCTACGCCATTTTAACCACAAGAGTGATGTGTGATTGATTTGAGATTGAAGCTTCAAAGGTCAAAAGTGTCTGTAAGTCTCAAGTTCAAATCCAATGAGTAATAAAAATTCCCTTGTGGCCACATAAGTTCAAATCTATTATTGAAAAAAATATTCAGAGACTTAATAATTTATAAAAATTCAATGAAAAAAAATATTCAGAGACTTAATAATTTAAGATGAGAAAGTTTAATGGTTTTTTAATCAAAAAAGTAGTTCAAGTACTTAATCATTTGGATGAGAAAGTATAATGATTTTTTTTACTTAAAAAGTAATTTAAAGACTTAGGGGCCGTTTATTTAAATGTTTATCCGGTAAGTGCTTAACATTATAAATCAACACTATAATTTATTTTATTGGGTAAGATTGTAGTACATCAAAACGTATCCTATACAACAATTTACTTGATAAGTACTTACCCGGGTAAGAGTCGTCACCCTCACTTACCGGGTAAGACTCTCAATTCTTATCATCGCTCTTACCGGGTAAGATTCTTGGTCCTTGCCATGTTCATCATGTGAGAAAAATTATCCAGTAAGTACTGATCGGGTAAGCGTTTAGTAAACGGCCTCTTAATTATTCAAAATGATATAATTTGTTAGGGTTCTTCTAAAAATTTCGTTTAGGAGGATATTTCACAACCCGATTGATCCAATTCTATTTTGGCCCATTAGAGGCCCGCACAACAACGAATAATTCAAGTAACATATCAATTTATTGGACCACTTTTAACAAAGATTTTAATTTTGATGATCAAAATCATAATTAAATAATTTTATATTTATTTATAAAAATCAATTTTTATGCAATAAATCGTTGCATATCTTTAAATATGATACAAGTTTAAAAAAAAATCACAATTATGATTAATTACTACAAACCAGATTACTTTGAATTAACTTCGTAGTAATTGGTTTTGTAGCATATTTAAAGATACATTGAGCAATTATACCATCATATTTACTAAGGGGCCGTTTATTAAACGCTTACTCGGTAAGTATTTACTGAGCAAATTTTCTCACCGAATGAACATGGTAAGGGGCAAGATTCTTACCAGGTAAGAGCGATGATAAGGATGGAGAGTCTTAAAGGTAAGTGAGGGTGACGACTCTTACCCGGGTAAGCGTTTAATCAGGTAAAATTGTTGCATAAATACGTTTTGATGTACTACAATTTTACCCAATTATATTGTTGACTCCTAACTGGTAAGCGCTTACCGAGTAAGCATTTAGGTAAACAGCCCCTAAGTGTCTTCATCAAGCCGTATCAAACTATTTATATCGCACCACCAAAATTATAACTTTTAGGGTGCGGTTTTGGTTAAAACCCAAGGACAGAAAACGCATCCCGTCGCTATAAAATCTCTAGTGGTGAACTACAATTTCGTCCCTATGAGTGGTTAGAAATTGTAACTCGTATTTTAGAAATTATAATTTTCGTTTATTTAGTTTGCAATTCATTGTTGTTTTAGTTTCTAAAGCTAACTTCGTTAATGGTTTACCATTAAGTATGAGGGATGAAACAACAATGACTTGTTGTAAACCACATGAACCAAAAAAACAATGAATTATAAACCACGTGAACAGAAACCGTAATTTCAAAAGTATAAGGACGAAATAGTAATTTTCCAGAAACCACATGGACTAAAACGTAGTTTACTAAAACTCCAGGGTCAAATGGTATTTTTAAGCTTTTAATCGGAGAGGTGGTCTCTGATTCTCAATCCATACGGAGATGAACCTTGATTCAAAATCGTGAAACCAAAATAAACAATTCATATTTGAAATTGATTCATAAATTAGTAATAAATCTGATCGGAGGGAAAAATCTCCGGCGATCCTCCGTCCAAGTACTTCCAAATCCGTCGATATCTTCCGTTTGTATCTGGTCAGTTCTTGAATGGAAGCGATCAGGAAACAGGCGACCAAGCTCCGGGAACAGGTTGCTAGACAACAACAGGTACCAACAAGAAATTCCCTTTTTCTTTCGATTTGAACTCTGATTCAATCATGCCGGCGAGACTCCTTTTCTTATCAATATTAATATTATTCACAACAGTTTATTTGGCGAGGATCTATATATGAATTTGATCAAGTGATTCCCTCTTTCAGTTTGTAATTATAGTTCCAACAGGGGAGTTCACTTTATGTTTGGCATCAAACCTGGACCTAGTAGTTTGCATCGGCGTAGTTAGAATGAGGGTTGTCTGGTGATAATACTTGCTCGAACGTTTGATGAAGTTAGCATTTTTCGCCTAAAAATTTATCTGACTGGATTTGGTTAATTTGGATGGGATAGAATGAATCTCTCTTACACGTTGATATTGTAATAATCCTAACTTTGTAGTTGAACTGCGTGATTCATCAACCACAAACTTTATACCCTGTGTTTTGGAAGAAAGATGTCTTTCATGTTTATACGACCTGGGTATTTTCAAATGCATAATTGATATACAGTTATATGCATAGTCTCCACTAAATATATTGTGTTTAGTAGTAGATTGGCTATGTGGTTACATTCATAAAAAAGTAGTGAGCTTGACCACAAAAGGGGATGTAGCTTTTTTTTACTTCTTTAGAGAAGGACATGCTATTAGAAATTTTGTATGAAACGTGTTGTAAGCATAATATAACTGGAAATAGAAAGACATTTTTGCTAATCTTTTGAGTAGAATTGGTGAATGGAATAATCATTTTCAATAATTGTTGGTTGTCGATTTGGAGCATGTTGTTGAATCAGTTTAATTAATTTAAGTGCAATATTAGGTTTGTAACGAGCTTTTTTGGTGTATGAAAGGTTTCTGGGGTAGTGGTTGGTATGGGCCGTGTCATTCAGGTTTAGGAAGAGAAGTGATTTATTTCCCAACATAACATATCTAGATTAAAATATGATTTAGTTTGCTAGGCAATGTAGGAGTAGGTTGCCAACTGTTGTAGCAACTTTCGCTTGAGTTAATGTGTGGATGTGGTAACGAAGGAAATCTTAATCTTTGCAAGAGTGGAGATTGCCAGAGAAAATATGGTTTTTTGAAGCTTAACATGTAAAAAAAGAGTTTCCTTTAACCTATTTGTCATATAAATGGGTATGTGAGTTCCAAATTATGGTATAACTCAAAACCCTGGAGATGCATGTGAAGTTTTTATTTGATCTTTCATATGTTGAATGACTTCTAGTCGTGCTAATTATGTGTCATTAGGTTTCTAACAGACATAAAGCTGGAGTAAAGAATTTATTTTGTAAGATCCTAACTTCTTGAAACTGAGAACTATCTGTGAATTACTACAATATACTATGCGGTATAAACCAGGTAATAAACTGATAATGCATAGTCGTTGGGGATTTTGAGACTATTAATTCCATATCTGGTTGATAGAGGCCTTGCATCTCAATACGAGATGATTACTGCTTTTCCCAGCAAGTCCTTGCGTCTATCATAAATAAGCTTGGTATAAATAAACTGATCTGGTCTTTGTATAACATTTTCATGGTTCAAGTTTGTTTGAACAACATGGGATCTTCATTCTGAATAATCATAATGAAACCATTTTCTACAATAAATCTTAAGTAAGAAAGAAGACCATACTTCATTGACAATTTTACATGTTGATTGTGCAAGCACATGGCTATTAATTGTTATAGTGGTTGCAAGGCTTGCTAGTACCAACTTTTTCTAAGAGAGTTTTAGATGTCTTCTTATTAACATAAGATCATTGAAAGTCGATAGCATTTTTAGAGCAGTAACCATTTGCATTCTGTTAACGTCATTTATAGAATCATTAGTTAACATCAAGAATGTATTATCCACCAAAATCTAAAAGCATATTGGTTAGCAAGATGCTTATTGTGTTTGGATTGCATGTTAGACTAAAAGGCTCAAGACAATACCTTTTGATTGATTAAAATTTTCCAAATTTTATAATAGTGCCTCTTTTTTATAAATACAAACCTTGTGTCTTGCGTCACAGAGGTTGAGGCACATGCCTCATTGAACCCAACTGGCTTCATGCCAAGAAAGTGCCTCAATTGGCTTACTCATAGCCTTGCGCCTCACAACGTGTATTATATCTCATGTATCTGCAGTTGATGTGGAAAATTTATTCTTTGTTACTGGTTTGATATTATACCACCTTAGTACAATATGTGATAATATAATGAAAGTCGGGTATCAATTTCAGGCAGTTTTCAAGCAGTTCGGGGGTGGTGGTGGTTATGGAGGTTCAGATAATGTAGTGACTGATGAGGCAGAACTCATGCTTCACCAGAAACTTGAGAGGCTATACATATCTACACGTGCTGCCAAGGTTGCTCCCCCACTTATTGGTGGTTTATGTTTTCACATAGAATACTTTTATTGAGTCCTAATAAGTCAAGAGGAACAATTTCAAGTTGTGTACTTTAAACCAATACTTTTAATGTGAATGATCGACTATCAAATTTACTTTCATATTATACACTTACTAATTATGCATGGGTATAGGCAGTGACTCTAGGAGCATCAAGCGAACCTTTTAAAGCCAACTTCTTTGGAAGTTTGTCTTTTGACTCTTTTCCTTCGGGACATGGCTGAACATTGTGAAGATAAGTTCACATAAAAGTTGTCATTTGGTGTTAATTGTCAGGGATTGCAAGAAGATAATTTGAAAAATAATTAATTAAAATTTTATTCTGGAGATGAAATTAAAGGTGTTCTTTTGTCCTTGCAATCTGCTGAGTTTTCGCTTTTCAGCATTTTCAAAGGGACATTGTTCGTGGTGTTGAAGGATATATAGTTACCGGTTCCAAACAAGTTGAAATAGGCAAGTTACCGATACTTTCTGATTCTTGTTGAATTTCATGAAATGAACATGATTTAAGTTTGCATCAATGTAATCTTTTGGCAGGAACTAAATTGTCAGAGGATAGCAGAAAATATGGTGTCGAGAATACATGCACCAGTGGTAATACCCTATCAAGAGCTGCGGTCAACTTTTCACGAGCTCGTGTCCAGATGGAGAAGGAACGAGGAAATCTACTGAAATCTTTTGGGACACAGGTTTGGAAAAGATTATCTTTTTTACCCACAAAAATCTGTGACGCTCGAAACTCTGGCATGGTTGCCTTATATCAATGCCTTGGTGCCTCACATTCTCTGCTTGTATATGACCTTATGTCAGTTTGCTATACGTATCATTTTTTTTAGGGTGTGTGACAGCTCCAAAAATCTTGTGTTTCAGTTGGCACTGTTCTATAAATCAGTGTGTGTGTGTGTGTGGTCTGATCTTTGGTTTTAACATGGATGATGGAACCTGTACATTGTGTAGTGTGTTATATTGTATGAGTTCGGCTTGAGGTTGGACCATAGCTATCGTAGTATTGAAGGGTCAGATATCTCCTGAGGCTGTATGGGGCATGAGGAGTGTGGTGAGTCATGTACTCATGTGCCTTGTTGGAAGTGAGGTGCATGATGGGCCAATTATTATTATTCTTCAATGTTAAACAAACTTGAACATCCTGGACAATTCCCTTAACCACAACTCTGATAAGTGATAACTAACCATTCATAGTGATATCTGAGAAGACGATGTCATAGCTCACAAGCAACAAAAGCATACTTACTGATAATGTAAAGCCTGTATTTCAAATGTCCTAGTATGAGGATTATATTGGGCAATAGCAAGTTTGATTAGAAAGCTAAGCATTTTGATAATTGGAAAACAAATTTTCCATGTTTCCACATTAATATTAGCGGCAATCAACTGATGGACTGATGGTGCCAATTATTATCAACGACAATGCCTTACATAAAGGGCAAAATGGAAAAAAAACACTGGAAGAGTTAGAAGAAAGAATTGAGAAGTGTGTATAGAATCCTCCGAAATTGGTTATGACAAAAGAAAGAGAGGAAGGATTAGCAAATAACTTTAGCAAAGGAAGAAAATATGTAGAAATAATCAGTAGTAGAATGATGAGGACTAACATAGAGCAGTCATGCCTGGTGATATCGCTTAACCTTTGTCTGCTTATTCCAGATCGCTGGTTGTTGCAGCAGTCTCTTCCACTCTCTTGGTCTTTTCTTTTAAGGGTTTCTATTTTTTATTTTATAGGGTGAATTGCACCAAATTACTCTACGAGGTTACAAGGAAGCAAGAGTCCTCAGTTTGTCTTAAGCGTTTAGGTTAACCTAAATTTGCATTTTTAAGCAGTGTTCCGCAACATCCTTTTAAGTGAAGCCCAGCCATATGCCTACGTGTCCTTAACTCCAGTAGTACCACTGATCATATAGTGTTTGTTAATAGTTACTTAAAATACTACTAATAGCATTATGAGTTAATTTCATATCGGAGTTAGTGAAATATGTGGAAAATAGCTGAACTTTTTTTTTTTTGAAGTATATAATATTTATATATGGCAAATGCAACAAATAAACTCACACACCCTCCTCACCTATGGTGAGGTTTGAACCCCTGACCTCCTAAAATAGCTGAACTTGTTAGTTGTTACCAAAGAAAAAAGGTTACTTCCTCCGAAGTAATATTGATGTTTCTTCCTTTCTCTACTCCAAAAGGAATGGAAAAAAATGAATAAGCTCAAGCTTTGGCTTTCCCTACGAATTAGCAAATTAATTCCATATATATTACTATATGAGTAGTATGCTAAATACTATATTGCTGATAGAGAAAAATGCAGGACTTCACATAGTTCATGAATATTCTCCCATGTCTGTTAGTGTTCCTATAAATCAAGTTCAAAAGAAATTCATAAATCTGAAAGGGAAAAATGTTTGGTCGTCCAAGTAGGAGTTCTGAAAAATGATACAGAGTGTAGACCATCACTGTTCAAACAATTTCTCATTTTCTCTCCCTAACTCCCTTTAATTCATTTACACATATATGGGCACACACAAAGGGAAAATGGGACTATTCCCTCGCATTAGTTATTGCGAAGCTGAGAAAAATCTTACAGTTCCTAGTCTTAGCTGTGAGGCTATTATATTAATTGGGCACGATGTTAGTTACTAAAGAGAATTCCTCTGACAGATCTTGTCCATGCTATGGTAATTTGTAAAAGGTACTCGTTTCTTCGGAACTTTAGGAATCAAAGAGAATTTCTATGATGGATCTTACCCGAAATATAGTAATTTTCTAGAAAGTATTTTTTTTCCTTTCCAACATTGTTTATTGGTTCATTGATTGCTAATGCTTATGCCTTGTTATCATTGCTCACCTTTTACTACCAAATTGTGCAGGTTGCAGAGCCACTAAGAGCAATGGTAATGGGAGCTCCACTTGAAGATGCTCGACATCTTGCTCAACGTTATGACAGAATGCGGCAAGAGGCGGAAGCACAGGTGTTTATGGTTTGCTAATGTATTCATGTACTTTTAAAAAGTGGGGTCTACTTCATTCTTTTCCTTTAATCACATGCATATTACTGGAATTCATTCTGTGCTCGTATTTTATATTGAAACATGATAACTAAGATATTCCAACACTATTGTAACTTCAGTCCACTCTCCAAACTTGCTAGGTCATTGAAGTTTCTAAACGACAATCAAAAGTGATGGATGGAAGCGGAAATCCAGAACTATTTACAAGACTTCAAGCAGCCGAATCAAAATTACAAGATTTGAAATCGACCATGGCAATATTGGGAAAGGAAGCTGCATCAGCTATGGCTGCAGTTGAGGCTCAGCAGCAGAAAATGACACTGCAGAGGCTTATTTCTATGGTAAAACTTCTCCACGTAATGAGTTAAATAAATTTCACATCTTAGATATGTTATCTGAAAAATGTCTTCCAATAGATCGAATCAGAACGTGCTTACCACCAGAAGGTTATTCAGATTCTTGATCATCTTGAAGGGGAGGTATGTAGTTTTGCTATAACCCTTTGCATCTACACATTTTTTCCTTTTTATAACATTGGTGTTTGAAGAGATTTTGATGGGGTGGGGTGGGTTGGGGTGCAGAAGTAGATGTGATAGTATAGCAGCCACTAGGGTTTTACTTATTTTTGGAACTAGACTTCCACAAAAGATATTCACCAGCTTAATCCAAAGAACAAAATTGGCTACTGTCAACAAGGACTTTTCACTTTTGCACCTGGACCCTGGACAGTCTTGTCAGAAAACCAGGTTGAATTACTGTTTTGATCATATATCAGGAGTAATGCTTAGAAACATCATGTTGCACTATTTTGGCCTTATCATGATGTAGTGTGCATGTGAATTCATCAAAAGTGTGCGCTACTCTCAGGTGATGAGGTTTGCAGAATAACCAACAATATGCACTGTATTGTCATTATGTGCCAATAACACACAAGTGTACTGGATTTGCTTTTTAACTGATAAAATGGAACTTAATATGGTAATCATTGTAAGAAAGTCCTAGTGAGAAGAAAGCAAAATGAACTTGATGATCAATGTATAATAAAAAGGATCCATATACATGAACTTAAATATGTATGTGTGTTATGATTTGAAATATACACACACATATACATAACTACTTAATCTGTATGCTTAGAGAGTGTTATGGGTGATACGATTTTTGACAGAGAAAGTACTGCATTCCATACTCTGGGTTTTGGGTAATTAAGAACAGACTCCACATTGCTGGCTCTTCTCCATTCTTGTTTTCTTGAGCTGCCACATACCTCAATTCCATTTTCATTAAAACCCATCCTGTCACATATTGACTAATCTTTTAACTGATTTTGTGATCTTTTAACTGATTCCTGCTGTGCAATGTGTGACTACGAACCACTCCACCATTAATTTTGGTTTCCATGCCCACTGATCGTAGCAGGCTTTCGTACCAACTCGTAAAGATCTTGAAGTGGAAATTGAGAACTAAGATGCAATTGGAAAAAGATGAGGTAAGGAACTGTTGAAGAGTTGATACGAAAATCAGAGAGTAACATTTTTGGATAAGTTAAGAGAGAAAATTTATTATGCTTTGATCTATGCATTCCCCTGTTCAGTCCAAGCAATGTAACAAACCCAGGCGTAACATACATTCGATTATTGCAAATAATACATAAAGATGTTAATAGAGAGTGTTCTGTGGCTGAGATGTTTAAGGAGATTCTTATGGGATTGGACTGTCTGTATTAAAGAAAAGTTGGTTAGTGATAGAAAGTTGATAGGAAGTAAGCGGAGTTTTACTAAATTTGTAAGTTCAAAAGTCGGTGAAGGTACTTGGAGAGAGAAAGTAGCTTGAATGTATACTTCATACTTGGTTATTCCAGGTTTTATTTGTAGGCTACTATATTTAGCATCAAAGGAAATAGACTTCTCAGTTGCGCGAGGACAAAAAATGACCCCAATTGGGCCAAAATGTTATATCCTTTAAAACCCTTTAAGTTGAAGTTGCATGCTGACATAACTATTTCATCGGTTGACTGGCGTGTTATTATTTGACGTCATGGGTTTGTTTTGTGGGCCAGGCTTATGTGAAACTGGAGAATCCTAGTGGTAAATCAAGAGTGCCTACTATTTGGTGTAGATTTTGGCACCGATCTCTTACTTTCTGGGCCAACCCTTGAAAGTCTTTCTTTTTTACTTTTTGCACTTAAAGTATCCAAGGGTAGTTGTCCAATGATGAACCTGAAAGTTCTTTCTAATAAGTTTTAGTATACTTTTACTCTAGCAGCATCTGCACTCGAGAATTGTGTAATGATCCGCACAGAACACAAAGTCTTGCGTCAAGAAAACGAGAAATATAGAAATATCCTTATAACAGTATAATATTTTTGACAACATGGTATTTTTTTGGGTCTGTGTGAAATATAACTGAAGAGTTAAAAAATTATAAACCTATCAAGGGAGAGGGAGGTCAGATTCTTTGGCATTTGATGTATAGACGTGTGTGTGTTATCACATTACCAGTACTTTTGACTAGCACTTTTCTAGTCCCATTTCCAGTACTTTGAATAGCATGTTTATGTTTCTGTTTTAAAAGCTTAATGCTCCCTTTTTGGCACAACCCAATCCCCAAAAGCTTTAGAAGGCTAATAATAAGCGTAAAGCCTTAAAGCTCAGCTTCTACAATTCGCAAAAGATTGATAGAAGAAAAAATCCAACGCTATCTTTCAAAACGAGAGGGAATAAATGGATCCTATCGTGCTTTGCGTAGTGGCTCATAAAAGTTCCTGCCAACTATCTAGGCCATTTCCTTATAAACAGTAACATATGTTCCCTCTTGATTGTAGATTTTTCTTTTTGGCTTTTATAATTTTGTTTGCTGATTGGGCAACATGTAGATGGTATCAGAGCGACAACGGATTGAAGCAGCTCCTACTCCAACAGAGGAAACACCTCCACCTCCATCATACGAAGAAGTGAATAATGCATCTACTGCTCCAATGCAAAATGGTTCAAATGATGGGGTGGATTACTTTTTAGGAGAGGTAAGCTTATCAATCTCTTTTGACTATTTCTTAATATATCTATATTGCTAATGAACCAACTTAATTTTTATTTTATCTGCTCTCTCCCGTTGGAAATTTCTCCATTGTGTTCCAGGCTATGTTCTCATATCATGCGGAGTCTGATGTGGAGCTCAATTTATCAACGGGTGATTATGTTGTCATCAGAAAGGTCTGCAGCTCATGAATTTTGTTTCCTGCATGATTTACTCAGCTTCTATTTGTTTCTTTAATACCACCTTTTATTTGTTACCCTCAATACTTGCATTTGGTAAATAAATAAAACCAAACCAAATAAACCCATTAAATCCCACACAAAGGTAGGATTTGACCATCTTGGGAGTAGGATGTACACAGACCTTTTCTTTACCTCAAAGGATAGAGCAATTGTTTTCATGAAGACCCCCAGCTTGCAGAACAAAAATTAAAAGAAACGAGAGATCAAGATGTAAGAGTGTGTGCAAACAAGAATGTAAGAAGAAAAGAACTTAAAATTCCTCTCACCGGGATTCTAGGCATCAAGTATAGTTAAAATTCTCTGTGGTTCCTTGCCTTATTGCATTTGAATTTTTTTACCCCAACTTCTGTCTCACCATAGTTGAAGGGCTCACATGGTACATAGAGAGGAGACGTTTTATTCAACATGATCCTTGATTCATCGATGATCACATAAAATTTCTGATCTGCAATTTGGCCACTGAACTATCCGAATACAATGCACTTTGAGTTAAATCTTGAAAAATGGCAAAATGCAAGAAATAACGATATACTTTCCATCTTTTTTATCGAAGTGCTTTGGAATTATTTTTCTTTAGGACATTATACTTGGAAAATTCCGTCATTTTCCTCCTCTTGTTAGTAAACATGTTCCATTTGCTTACACCATTTTCCTCCCTCCATTTTCTGTGGCTCCCATCTTTTCTTCTCAGATTACTTAGAAGAACCCCACAATCACATCTTTATCTCTTCTTACACCATATAAATTGGACTCTGAAAATAAATGTTAGATGGTGATAATGAATACTAGCTTATTCTTTGAGTTACGATTTGGTACGATGCACCACGAGGTGGCATTCATACGGGTGCGTTTGGTACGTGGATGGGATTGTAGTGGACATGTGAGAGGGAGGTAGGCGGGTGAAAGTATTCTGGAGGGTTTTAGGGTTGTAGTATGACATGGGTGGTTTAGTAATTTACCGATCTTATCCACTTCCGTAGGACAAAAAGTACATTTTTTCCCACCCAGTCCTGTCCTATCTCAGTTTAACTTCGCGTCAAACATGGGACAACAAGTTTTTGTTCATGTCATGTCCCGTATACCAAACGCAAAGGGAAGTCATTGCTCCAAGGCTTGAGGATGGAAGTTTTAGTAGCCTTTCCGTTAACAACGGAGTAACCTTACCTGTTGCCCCAAAATTTGCGCTATTAAATATCGTTCTCATTTTCTTTCACCTTAAATCCTTAGCTATCTCCAAGTACATGAATTCAGAATGTGGCAACTTTTACAGGTATCGAATAACGGTTGGGCTGAAGGTGAATGCAAAGGGAAAGCAGGTTGGTTTCCCGTTGAATACATCGAAAGACGAGAGCGTGTTCTTGCAAGTAAGGTTACTGAAGTCTTTTAGAGTATGTTCTCTATGCTTTGCCCTTTTTATATCTTAAAGCTAAGTGTTTGTATGTATTTTTTGGTCTTTCGGTGTAAAAACAAAATATGCATCCTATTGTTTTGATTGGATATTTGTAGAGCTTCGATTTTTATACACTTTTGTATGTATCGTGGTGCTTGTTCTATATCCGGTTTCTTTGTCATTGGGTTTACGAGTTATTCCCTCCGTCCCAAAGTAAATGTCCGTAGTTATAAAGACACGGTTTTTAAAAAATATGTAATTATTACATTTTTAATTGACCACACGACAATACCTTAATGATGGGGCTGCTATTCATACCTCTCCTTGATCAGTACTTGCATACCACCTCATTTCTTACCTCCTTGCTCATTCACATACCCTTTGATAGGAGGGGAGGGGGTATGAATAGAATACACGCTAATAATAAAGAGGCATTTTCTTTATCTCATAATCAAGAGTAGAATGAGAAAATGGACATTTATTTTTGGATGGACTAAAATAAAGACGAAGGATCATGTGAGAAGGAGAGTTAATGTGAAAAGCGTGAGAAGAGATTTGGACCCTTGATTACATTTAATTTCAAACCCACCCATGAATCGTGTTGGGGATTAATCTGGTGCATCTCATCTTGGTGCATCTCATCCTAATGTGTGTGTCCAAGGGTGGAGATCCCTTCTTATGTTTTTCATCTTAACTCTCTTTTTCACAAGATCCCAACCCCTAAATGCATCACATGTGATTTTTCACATGATTTGACTGTATTTCATGTTTTTTTATTTGATTATTATTTTCATTTGAATATCTCTTGTGATACATAATCAATAGTTAGATGCTAATTTTTTCAATGTACTTTTGGTCATGAATTAGAAGTTACATGCAATAGATTAGCCAATTGGTTGTGGCTTGATTTATACTGATATTTTTAGGGTTTTACGTACGACATATATTGATTATTGATAATTGAACCCTAATTTTTTGTTTCAAAAACCAATTCCAAATTATCCAAACCATATAAAGTGTCGTCATTCTGGTAACAAGACATATATTTAAAAATGGGTTTACGTTTTACTTGTATCCGTCGATCCCCTTGATTAGGATATTTTGGTTTAGTTTTATTATTAAAGATAAAGATTATAAAAAAATAATATTTAGTAGATTAAACTAAAATTTTGGTCCCTATGGTTTACACGAATCTTTGAAAGTGGTTCCTAGACTTCAATAACTACAATTATCGTTCCTATTGTTTACATTTTGCTTTGAAAATCTTCCCTTGAACTAAACACCGTTAAAAAACTCAGTTAAGTGAGAGGTACTTTCGTCTTTTTACATTTTTTTTGTTTTTTTCTTGTTTTTCACCATGAGTATCCCTCACCTCCACACCTCGCCACCACTCTCACCCTCACCATTACCGACCCCCACCTCCAGCCACCATCCTCCCATGGCGATATACAACAGTACACAGAGAGAATCTATAAAGAGAGATCGATGATGATGTCTTGTGGCTCTGTGTGTGTAAATCTAGAGAGAGAGAGAGAGATCAATTGTGATCTACTTTGGACAATGTGTAACAATGTGTATATATATATATATATATATGTGTGTGTGTGTGTGTGTGTGTGTGTGTGTGTGTAGTGCATAGTGTGTATGTTGTATGTGTGTGTTGTGTGTGTTCTATGTGCGTAGTTGACAATGCAACTCATTATTTTTAAAATGTGTGTTTGTCGACGGTTTTGGGTAATAAAAATGATTGGTTAAGTACAACAAAAATACATCATACCAAGTTACAATAACAATTCATTTTTACTGAATTTGAGGGAAATGAAACGCAGATGCATAAAAAAGCCTAGGCCTGGTAAGCCCGAAGCCTGGTTTAGGCCAACCTAAAAATTTGGGTGAAAATTCGAGCCAAAGAACTTGAAAAAACCCAATTAAGCCCAATCGAACCCTTTTCAATTCTAAAAATCAACCCGGGCAAAATCCGGCCGTTTTTTGCTCACTAAAGACGGTTTTAAGAGTGGTATATACTCTAAATAAGATTTTAATTAAAATCATGACTAAGCTATTTTTTTACCCAAGGCTTATTTCTTTTTTATCCCGAGACGATGAATTGAGCTCGTATAGGTATTTTGGACGCTGCTATTGTATTCCACCCATTTCATAAAGGATTCAACCTAGTTTAACAACAATTACCCAATATACAAGAGAGTATTTACCTGAATCCATACGTGTTTTTACAGACGTCCCATCTATCCTGAAGTTTGGTTTCAAACCCCAGTTCGAACGGTTAAACACAAACCAAACAATAATCAAACTCTAGACCAAACAATAATCGAATCCCAAATTGGTTCGATATTTTGGTTTGGGTTTAAAAAACACGATATACAAAATGAAATAAATCGGGTAACCCGAAAACCGAACCAATAATAATATGGAAGCAGAAACGGGCTTGGTCCAGATCATTTCAGTTGGGTTGGGGCTACAAGCCTGTCCCCATGAATCCAATACTAAACCCTACGATACTCTCCTCTTCTTCCCTTCTGCTCACCACCGCCTGATATTCGGCACATCGACATCTCGCCTGCAACTTCTTTTGTGATTTGTCAATCTCTTCTGGTAAGTGATTAAGATTTTGTGTTATTTTTGGTTTTGATGAATCTCTGCTGGTGCTGATGGTGAATCTACTCTGTTTTTGTGTTATCTGCCCGTTTATGGTGTGATCTAGGGTTGAATATGAACTGTTTCAATTTTACTTTTTATTGTTTCGTACGTTTTTATGTTTCGTTTTTATCTGGTTTATCTCTTCTGGTAGTGAAGATGATGTGATCTTGGAACAATGATTGAGATTTTTTTTTTTGCTGAATAGTAACTTTTTGATGATCGGCAACACATTTTTGTTATAATAAGCAAATCGTTCTTGCAGCACACATATATGTATCCGAATATTCCTTCGATGTTTTTTGAAGTAGAATGTACATAGAAAAACAAAATATAATCTTTACTCCATTTGAATAGGTGGTTTATCAGAAAGGATTGTGAAATTGCATTATGATAATTGCTTGATATGTTTGGATTGATGCAATGCGTTTGATTGATGCTGTACATTTATGTATCCTCAAGTCCTATAGTCATAGATCTTCCTGAGTTTGTGAGTCTCTGGTGACTTAGGAGCACCAAATGCCTATCCTCATAATATTGTATAGACACTCTTGATATCACATTTTGTTTATATTAAGGTCTCTAAATCCCCTTTTAATGATACTTAATTGTAATGTCCCTCTTGATATCAAATTTCAGGGTCAAGAGTCATCATCCATATACACTACTGTTGAAAATGGCAACCCAAATGAGCAAAAAGCGAAAGGTTAGTCTTGTTAGTCGTCACATTTACAAGTAGACGTTATGTTTATTTTTTCATAGAGCTTAGTGTAATTTGTTTGGTGCATGACAGTTTGTAGCTGATGGCGTGTTCTTTGCTGAGCTGAATGAGGTCCTTACCAGGGAACTTGCAGAGGATGGTTACTCTGGTGTTGAAGTTAGAGTTACTCCTATGCGTACAGAGATCATCATTAGGGCCACGCGTACCCAAAACGTTCTTGGTAAAATTCTAATCACTTAAATTTTTACGTACTTCTACATTTGTAGAATAAATTTCATGAACTTGGTTAATTTCTAATTTATTGATAAGACAAACATGCATTAAATTTGCATGTCTGCATCGGTGTGATAAGATGAGCAAGAATGTTTACGTCTAGTTAGATGGTTTTTCTTAGTATGTTGTGCTAAAAATACATGCCATGATTTTAGTTATATAATTGATGAAAGTATATGCAGAAAGGGTTCAGTCTGAACTCTGAAACCATCAAATTTTGTTTGTGGGTACCAACTACAACTGTTATCTGCTTCTGTTGCTGAATATAGTTTTGTGAGGGAAGGATTAACAGCCTTGAATATGGTAGGAATGTGAGTATGCGACTGTTAAGTAGCTATAACATTATGCAGAATCAGATGTATATAGCACTTGACATAATCATCTCAAATCATCATGATATAAGCTTTCATCTGTAACCTCAATATCTTTTTCTCAATGTCTGACTTGCATGTATTAAACTTAAGCATGCTGCCAGCATTCTACCTTAGCCAGGATTATGTTCTTGGTTGTGCCTCTTTTCTCATGTCAATGAAGCTATTGAATTGGGATTTGTATCTTGTAACCTCTTCTTTTACAGAACCAAGTTTTGTGTGAGATTTCAAATTACTAAAAAGGGAAAATAGAACTTTTTGAATATGATGATGGTAAAATCTTCCATCTCATGACAACTATAAGCTGATAATTTTTTCTTTTTGTGGTAACCAAGAAAAAAATAACATGGCTTGTGGGATAACGGAAATGATAGTAAACTGCTCTAAGAGCCCACAACTATTTTTACCTACTTCTGGTTGAAAGTAGGTTGGCAACAAGCATGCCTTTTGAACACAGCATGTTCTTTCTCTATCATTGGAGTTGGAACCCTGTGCATCTAAGATCTATAATTGAGAAAACATAATCAATATGCAACCATTATCTGTGCTTTTGATGCTTATCAGTTACCAGTGAACAAAAGTAAGAACATAAAATCAGATGTGTAGGGATCTGATGTTGCTACTTGCACTAATTGGGGACTTATAGGGAAGGGTTACCATTGTCGTCAAGATAGCAACAGTAACAATTTAACCTGATAAATACCAGTTTCTGTCTCAGTGCTTTTTGTTGAACTGTCCTTATTGATTGTTAACCACTTAACCTTAGCAAAATTGTCATTGGACATCGTAACACCACGGTTGTTTGCTTACTGAACGTGATTTTCCAGGTGAGAAAGGAAGGCGGATAAGGGAGCTGACATCTCTCGTTCAGAAGCGGTTTAAGTTTCCTGAAAACAGTGTGGAGCTTTATGCCGAAAGAGTGAACAACAGAGGACTCTGCGCCATTGCCCAGGCTGAATCTTTGCGCTACAAGCTTCTTGGGGGGCTTGCAGTTCGCAGGTTTTGAAACCATTATTTCTAATCTCTCAATATTATGTTGTCATTCTAATTTGCTTGCCATAGTGGTATGTGTGACATCTTCTGGATCTTCTTTCTTGGTTTTTTGCACTGTGCTTTCTTTGATCATTACCTACCAAAAGGTTGATGCTATTTCACCAGTTCAAGATCATTTATTACCATACATTGACCATTTATCTCTTTAAAAGAAGTGATTTTATAATTTCATGTTTATAAGTTTAAAACAAAGTATATACTTTTTGCAGATGATGATCAATTATGTTTTAGAGTCGGGACTATGAACCTAATTATTTATTGTTTTCGAATGTAAATCAATGAAAACCTGTTGTTTTCTTTTTAGTTTAGATATTGACCAAAACCGGAGATTTTTTTCAGTTTGTTTGAAAATGTACATTCATATTACTAATGGTGGTTATAGAAATTGAGTATGGTTTATGATTGAGATTGTATAACGAGGATTATTGTTTTTTAGGGCTTGCTATGGTGTTCTTAGATTTGTAATGGAGAATGGAGCTAAAGGGTGTGAGGTGATTGTTAGCGGAAAGCTTAGGGCTCAGCGTGCAAAATCAATGAAGTTCAAGGATGGATACATGGTTTCCTCTGGTCAACCGGTCAAGGAGTATATCGACTCTGCTGTGAGGCACGTGCTTCTTAGACAGGTATATTCGTGCATATATATAAATTTTTCATTTCCTTTAGTTACATTGTGGGAAGTATATACCATACATACAAATAAGAAGTGAAATTTTGATAAATGGGTGGTTGGTACAGGGAGTTCTTGGAATCAAGGTTAAGATCATGCTCGACTGGGATCCTACCGGTAAGCTTGGACCCAAGACACCATTACCTGATAACGTGATTATTCACATGCCCAAGGATGACGTTGTTGCACTTCCGCCCAAAGAGGTGGAGGAATATAGGCCACCACTTGTGGTTGGCGATGAGCCTTTGCCGATGCCCATTCCTGTCGTCTAAATCTATGCGATTCCGTAATTTGGTGGCTTTTGTTGAGTTTTGTTTTTGGATTGGATAACCCTTTTTCATTTTGGACTGCTGTAAGCTTATATCTACACTTAGTTTTGTCAAATTTTGTTACTTTGAAGTGATAATGAAGGTTCAAGTTTTGTAGTAATTTTGTTATGAAGACGTATATGCCCTTGGGCTAAAATCCCGTTTAGCAAACTCTTGTAGGGCTAGTCTGTAGCATGAAAAGAATTAAAGGACGACGATCTTTTCTTGGTTAAGTGAGTTGAGTTAACGAAGTCGGTAAACTTGACTCGTTCTAAACCTTAATTAAAATTTTCAAAGCAAGTTGAGTTGAGTTGAGTTATACAAACACACATTTGTTTGAACCGTAACATATCGACACTATAAAACTATTGAGCTTGAGCCAGTAAACAAGTTAAATCAATATTCACATTTGAGGACGTAACCAAATAAAAATTGAGATTAGGTCATAATTTAAAACTCAAATTTGTTATGCAAATATCGAACTTGGCCTTTCGACACTCAAACGATTCGAGCTTGAACTAGAGAGCTATTTTGCAAAAACAATCTTAGTTCAAGCCTGATATTCATTATCAAGTCGAATCAAAACAACTTGTTACTCAACTCGTTAACATCACAAGATTCAGACATTTGTGTGACGTATGAGATTTGTGATACTTGAAAAAGAAAAAAAGATGACCAAAGAAACAGAAAAAATAAAATGATAGACGTTACAGATATAAAATACTGAAAGAACGTATTTGATTTGTTTCATGTTCGTGGCTTAATTTAAATGAAATTGCTACCGGTTCATCAAATTACCAAGATATAGATATATATATATATATATAATGTTTTATTTCGACCAAGACCCCTTGAATAATTTCAATAGAAATCATGAGAATAATTGTGAAATCAATGATGGAATGATTTGATGGTCGCACTCAGATTCGGAAATGATTTCTAAACTACTCTTTAATATCTATGTATGGTTTTAATTGGTTGTAACGTTGTTGTTTAGGTTTCTAAGAAATTACAAATCAAAATTGAGAACAAATTAGTTTCAATAAAAGAGTGATCCTATACTAAAACGTAGATAGAAAGATGATATCTTTAATATTTAGCAAGCATATAGAAAGAAATAAAACCAGATAAAAAGATGGAGATCTATGGGATGGGCTAACAACAACAATAGACGCTAGAGAGAACAATCAACGATGGGGCAATGAGACATAGCCGCGAGGGGTGTATTTGTATGCAAATGGTTTGGATGACGTATGGTTTGAGAAGAGTAAAATTCATTTATGTTTTTTTACAATAAAACATTGGTATTCGGTTACCTGTAACTTTTTTTTGGGTTAAAGGAAGGTAGGTGAGTAATTTTTAAAAGTTTGATGGTTTATTTACTAAAAAAAGCATTCAAGGACTTAATGATTTCAAAATGAAAAAGTTTAGTGGTTTTTCATCAAACAAAATAGTTCAGTGACTTGATTAAGTAACCAAACAACACTTAGAGGCCATTTACCAAACGCTTACTCGGGTAAGTGCTTACAAAATCGCATTACCTTACCGAATGAATATGACAAAAACCAAGAATCTTACCCGATAAGAGCAAAGGCAAAGGCCGAGAGTCTTGATGACGACTCTTACGATGGTTAACACTTACCAGGTAAATTGTTGCGTACGATATTGTTTTGGTAGACTAAAATCTAACCCGGTAAGTAAGTAATAGTGTTTGAATCTTGCCGGTAAGCACTTATTCAGGTAAACGTTTGGTAAACAGCCTCTTAGTCTAGAGATTTTCAAACCAAAATGGGATCAAGGGATTTGGTTCTTTCGACACAACAGCAATGTTTCTCACATTGATACAAAAATTAAACCTACATTAACCAACCAAAAATATTGTAAGACTGTAATTGTAGTAATGAGCAGACCACCAGCAATACAAAAAGAAAAGGCTTCTCAGTCCACAATCAAATCAAAAATTTATCCTCCATAACTTACCAACTCTTGGAATTACATGAATTTCTAATCTGAGCTTTTAGACTACCGGAATGGGCATAGGCAAAGGCTCGTCAGCAACCACAAGTGGTGGCCTATATTCCTCCACCTCTTTGGGCGGAAGTGCAACAACGTCGTCCTTGGGCATGTGAATAATCACGTTATCAGGTAATGGTGTCTTGGGGCCGAGCTTGCCTGTAGGATCCCAGTCGAGCATGATCTTAACCTTGATTCCAAGAACACCCTGTACCAACCATCCATTTATCAAATTTCACTTGTTATTTGTTGGTATGATATTACATAGAAATGAGAATTTATATATATATATATATATACACGAATATACCTGTCTAAGAAGCACGTGCCTCACAGCAGAGTCGATATACTCCTTAACCGGTTGACCAGAGGAAACCATGTATCCATCCTTGAACTTCATTGATTTTGCACGCTGAGCCCTAAGCTTTCCGCTAACAATCACCTCACACCCTTTAGCTCCATTCTCCATAACAAATCTTAGAACACCATAGCAAGCCCTAAAAACAAGAATCTCAGTTAATACAATCCGGATCATATGCAACAAAATCATACGGAGCTTCTACAAGAACCATTAGTAATGAAGGTACATTTTAAAAGAACACGAAGAAAGAAATCTACGCTTTTGGTCCATATCTCAACTAAAAAGAAAACAAGTTTTCATTTACTTATAATTATAGTCCTGACTCAAACATAATCTTCAAAATTGTTCATCATTTTCATCAAATACTTTTTTTTTAACTTATAAACAAGAAATTATAAAATCACTTCTTCTCAAGAGATAAATGGTCAACATTAATAATGGCTTTTCAACTGGCAAAATAGCATACAAACTTTTTGGTAGGCAATGACCAGAGGAAACGAGCTGTAGAAGCGAATAAAGAACACCGAAAAGATGTCACACATACCACCATGTCCAAGCAAATAAGAACGGCAACATAAAATTGACAAGAGTAGAAATAATAATAAAAAATGTTTGTAAACCTGCGAACTGCAAGCCCTCCAAGAAGCTTGTAACGCAAAGATTCAGCCTGGGCAATGGCACAGAGCCCTCTGTTGTTCACTCTTTCGGCATAAAGCTCCACACTGTTTTCAGGGAACTTAAACCGCTTCTGAACAAGAGATGTTAGCTCCCTTATTCGCCTTCCTTTCTCACCTGGAAAATGTTCAAGAAGCAAACAGCCATGATGTTAGGATGTCTAATACAATTTTATTCATGTTTAAAATAAATATGAACATCTCAACAACAAACAAAAACTTGTGTAAATAACATTAAATTGTTAATGTTCAACATCTTGACGATAACAGCAATCGTTCCAGAGAAATCTTGAATTTAGTGTAAGCAACACACAGATCCCTCCCATCTGATTTAATGTTCTTACTTTTGTGCATCGAAATCATCAAGAGAGGAGACAACCGGTATGTACAGATTATATTCCTAAACAGGAGATCCAAGAAACGCGGTTCCAACTTCAATGGTAGAAAACGAGTCTTGTGTTTAACAAACTGCTTGTTGCCAACCTACTTTCAAGTTTCAACAAGTGATACAAAATGTCTGTGTAGTTTTTAACAGTGAAACATTGCTTCCCTATGTTCTGGTTTTTGTTGATGACCACCCAAAAAAGGCAATAAACTATTAACTTACGATTCTTCTTGATACTACGATTTTATTCATAACAAAGTTCAAAATCTCTATTTTCCCTTTCCAGTAATTTGAATGATCACACAAAACTAGTTTGTAGGAAAATTTGCAACGTCGAAGTCCCTAGTCCACTAGCTCAGCTATGGATAAATAGCCACAGGGATGATCGCAATCAAGAAAAGATGAAAGATTACACTTCGATTATTTTCACATTCCTGCCCTATTCATGGTTACTAATGCATACCTATATTCCTTAATAGAAGCAGATAACAGTTTACCCACAAACAATGATATTGACCCCCTTTCCTAATAATTTTTTGAATCTACAACTAAAATCATGGCGTATATTTTTAGCACAGCATATTAACAAAAAGAGATCAAAGTTTATAACAGATGCCGAATTCCATCTCATCTTGCCATACAGATGCAAACAAGCGAATTTACTTCAAGTTTCTCCTCATGAATAAGTTGGCAATGAACTAAGTTCATGAAATTTAATCTGCGAGACAAGAATATAATTACATTGAAAAATAACGTGATTAGAATTCTACCAAGTACGTTTTGGGTACGGGTGGCCCTGATGATGATCTCTGTACGCATAGGCGTAACCCTAACTTCGACACCGGAGTAACCGTCCTCCGCGAGTTCCCTGGTAAGGACCTCGTTCAGCTCAGCAAAGAACACGCCATCAGCTACGAACTGATGCACAAAAAACAAATTACACTAAGATCTATGAGAGAATAAACACCAAAACAACTTGTGACACTGATTGATGACACTAACCTTTCGTTTTTTGCTCATTTGAGTCGCCATTTCCTCTGTAGTGTATAGGGGATGAAGAACTCAGAACTGAAACAGAGTAGTTTCACAACCACTACCATCAGACATTCATAAAAAATATTAACAGAAAACATAACAAAGATTCCTAATGATTTACCAGCAGCAAGAAGAAATCACAGAAGATCAGGGCTCTAACCTCGATGGAAGAATCCTCAAGTCGAAGGAAGATTAGGCGGTGGAGAAAAAATAGAAAGAGGATATTGGGGGTAGGGTTATGGTATTCACAGGCTTGAAGCCCAAAATGGAGTGGGCTGGACCAAACCCATTTCCAGCCCATTATACTTTTCTTTGTATTTTATTAAAAAAATGTTTAAAACTTTAAATCTTAAATATCAAAATAAGTTATCCAAAATAGATTTCAAGTTAAAGTACATTACTTTTACATACAATTTACCTTTTTTTATTTTATAGATATCAACCTCAATTATATCAATTAAGATTCTATAATTTTATAATCTCAATATATTCATATAAAACATTTATATAAAATTATAATAATATGATATAATTAACAATAAAAAATAAAGAAAATAAATATTTTGATAATTTGGGAAAATATGAAATTTTCCATGAATTTGATTTGGTATTTTCTTTTTCTTTTTTAGATACTTAAATTTTATTATTTAACTGATTTTTTTTGCAATTATGTTTTTTATTCCTTTTCATTTTAAATACTTTAGATAACCCGGAAAAAAACTATTGTATTTTTGTGTTTTGATTATAACATATCTTGAAAAACAACTTAAAATGTGATACATTGTGGAAATGTATCAAACTCATGTTTTGGGGCGTAGGAACGTCGGTCCTTGTAGATGGACAAAAACTAGTTACAATCGGATCTACAACTGGTCTAGTCCTGTTTAAAGAAATACCACCAAACAACCTATTGCAGCATAACTAGTTCCGAACCCTTGCAACAAAAACTGATAAAAATTGATTATAATCAGTAATTTAACTAACTTTAAAACACAGTCCACTTTTACCTTCATCTGATTTAAATGAAAGTCGAGTCATGAGAAAGAAAGAGTTGTCTATCTTCACTCATACTTCACACACAAATATTATTAAAGCTAGTAAAGGACCATCTGGTTTGCAGAATTTGATTACATAATATGTATATTTTATTATGATCCCTAATATATCAAAGTTTATCTGAATTCCTATTTAATCAGATGAATATTTTTTATCAATGTGAATGCCAACTTATCAATCAATATATTTTAACCAATATAATCCACTCATCCTAGATGATATTTTCTTTTTGAAGTATATAATATTTATATACGACAAATGCAACAAATAAACTCACACACCCTCCTCATCTTTGATGATGTTTGAACTCCTGACCTCCTAGGCCAAAAGCTCTTTGGTTCCTAAACTATATTTTTATCAGTCAATATAACTTAAAAACTTATCATTTATATAATCAAACGTTACAAGATAAGCAAGCTATCGATCAAAATAAGTAAGAATGTGGCACAACAAAGGGTCAAGTGGAGTACAAGATGTTTACAATCTTGAAGTGTTTCCCATGCTATATTCCAACCCACTTCATTTGGGTTTAAAATAAATGACTACTTCTTGTATGCTTCGATCTAATGCATACAATATACTATTAGAGTTAAGAGCACATACAAAATTTATGATAGCCAAGCTATCAAAAACACAAATTTCGATCATCCCTGGCGCTAACGGGATTGCGAAGACCGATTGAGGTTCATTCTAGGTGGTGGTGCTAACATTCCCAAGTTCATATCGGGTCATGTCCTCAGAGTAAAGAATGCCATTTGGCGAAACGAGACGTAGTAGAGCAACAGTAAAACGAGACTGTAAATCATGGTACATAAAGAATGTTAGAGTTGAACGTTCCAACACTTACAATCATATGCGAAATTTCTCATTTTTATGGTGAGAACAAGTGAAGATACTTTTATACTGTGTAAATTTTCATCATCTTATTTGAAGGTTATATTATACCGTGTGCATACTGTAACATTCACACAATATAAAGGTATCTTCACAGTTCTCATGACAAACATTCACACAATATAAAGGTATCTTCGCAGTTCTCATGACAAACATTCACACAATTTAAAGATATCTTGACAGTTCTCATGACAAACCTTCACACAATATAAAGATATCTTCACTTTGTCTTACTTTTACGAGAAGGTGGGAACAAAATGAAGATACATTTATACTGTATAAATGTTACATTATATAGTGTGAAGATTCTAACTTTCACTCACCTTCAACTGTGTATTGGATGGTTATATTATATTTGTGTGAATGTTGTAACCTTCACATAGTATAACGATACCTTCACTTTTCTCACGGAAAGGGGTTGTTCTCACCGGAATCCAACCCCGCTTACTAAAGCAGCATAATCTTAGATGCAAATGTAAGTTAAACTATACCCATTGGAACAACGCTAACGTCCACCAGCAACCAGGCAAACCGTATCCCGAACTGCTGAAAAACTGATGGGAATAGAGGACGGTGTAAGTACCCAAGAAATGATAAAAAAGGAAAACTTTCTTCGTCCCAATATAAAAATAAACATATTATTTCAATAAAAAGAATTGCCATGTAGCCGGTTACTAATACCAGTTACTCCCACCATACCAAAATAAATGTCCACATTGAAAAAGGCAAGCACTTCTAGAAATAAGATATTATTACCTTTTTAATCAACTAAATGACAATAGAACCTTGGTAACATAGGAAATAATCAAATTTTCCATCTCATAATTAAGGGTAGGTTTGGAAAATAGACGTTTCCTTTTGAAGTGGACACTTATTTTGGGACAGAGAAAGTACTTTCATCCACAGGATTTCCTAATGTTGGTAATAATTGAAGGGTCCTACAGATTTTTTGTAAACAATCAAACACTCTCATTGGACTATATGTCCATTCAAACAATGCATTTTTTTGAAACAGGAGCGTCTAGGGTAGAACGAGAAGGTACAAGTTAAGAGCTGTTTACCCAAACACTTACCCGGTAAGTGTTTACATGTAAAATTCAACAGTATCGCTTTAAGGTTTTATTAGTCCATCAAAAACGGCATCGTATGCAATAATTTACCATGTAAGCACCAACCGGGTAAGACTCTTGGTCCTTGTCATGGCTCTTACCGGGTAAGATTCTCGGGCCTTATGATGTTCATCCAATAAGGTAATAAGCGCTTACCCAGTAAGTATATGTTAAACAGCCCCTTAGTCAGGGAAAAAAATCTCCTTAACAATTTCCTTCCGGATGTTCCAAAATATAGGCATAACATTTCCCTTCCATCAATCATTGCCATTTTACACATAGGTACAGTACAAGATGTTGATACCATGGATTTTGATCCATTTTATTTCCTACCTTTGGTAAAACGGAGGGGTATTTTAGATATTTAATAAATATCAAAAGCTTTAATAACTGGGAAGTTTTGGAGATGGATAGAGTATTTTAGACGGTTCACGAATATATTCATCATTCTTAGTTTTGGCTATGAAAACAGAGAACAAAATCAAAACTAGGGATCCAAAATCTGAAGTCCTTACCATAAGGAGAAGAGCGCCAAAAGCAAAGATTGTGCTCATTGACAAACTAATAAATCTCAAATCGCGTCCAGCCTACAAAACAAACTCGGATGCTTTAAGTAAATTCAACAAGATGACAAGTTAATATTGAGTTTGTGTGAGAAGATAGCTTCCTCCAAGTCATGTTCTAAATAAAGTGAAAAAAACTTTCATCTTGTTGCATAAAAATATGTAACTTCAATTAATCCCCATCCTAAGACTCAAATTATGCGGTTCATACTTTGCCCAAGGTCCAATTTGGTAAGACTTGGTATTTCTCTACGATAAACCATAAAAAAAATTGATCTCTTCACTTTGCAATCCAACAAACCCTAAGGACCCGTTTGGTTTGTGGGATGTGGAATTGGATTTCATTACAATCCCGTGTTTGGTTTATAGGAAAGTCCGGAATTGAAATCCCACAAACATGGGATTTAGAAATTCCATGGGAGTAGTTGGTATTTCACGCGATTTCATAGGATTTGTGTGTAATAATAATGTTTTAAAATATGTTACAAACACTTGTTTTGTAATAATCAATTATTAAAAAGGTAATTTAATTATTTTTAGTTTTATTTAATTTAATAAATTATTTACAAAGAATGGAATTCAATTCCATTCCAAAAACTACAAACCAAACACACCAAAGATTTCAAATTCTTCCATGAAATCCAATTCCCTCAAAAGACAACCCATCAAACCAAACGGACCCTAAAGTTACATACATAAAATCAGCAAAAAGGTTTAAGAACATGTAATATAGGTGATGCTTTGATTCAATAACAGAAGTGATTCCTAGTTTGTGATTCATAGACCTATGGTCAAAAAAGAACATCAGGAGTCCTACTTTTCGAGTAAAAAATAAGCATACCAACAACGTTCCTTCAAGGCTGTGAGTACTTGTTGTCACAGACAAAGCAATGAAGTATGGAAGTAGAACTTTGTGCATCTGCATTGAAGGAAGATAGGTGTAAAATTTCAAGTAACAAATAACTATATTATTTTCATAAGAAGGTACACTATAAGATGATAAGATCTACCCATCACTCCACGTGATTGCTAGTTTGCTACATTGTATACACGTGTGTGAACATGCGAGTGTGTCTGTGATGATACAAGTATGGGACTTCCACTCTGAGCATGATATGTAGATAATATCCTCCCTCCATCTTAGAACTCTGTCCACTTTAGACTTGATATTCAAGCCTAGGGTTATTCAAATTCCATCTTCTTTAAGATTGCTTTTACATATTTAACACCATTTGTTTCTTTTTGTGGTACTTATTTTATATTATTTGGTATTTATATAGAGAGAAGGAAGTTCAGGGAAAACCTGCAAAAAAATGAAAAACTGAGGAACACCCTGGTAACCTTTCATATGGACAGTATGCACATGAGCATACAAGTAATTTGTAAGCAATTTGTCCGGGATTCACATGTGCATAATATGCACACGTGCATAAAAACCCAAGAAACAACTTCAATTACTTGTATGCACATGTGCATACCTTCCAAATGAAAGTTTACCAGGGTGTTCCTCAGTTTTTCAATTTTTTTGGGGTTTTCCC